CAGATAAACACCTTCATCACACATGTGGCCACTTGTTTGTACCATTTTCAGGCGATTTGTAAAAAACGATGTGTTTTTGGATATTTGTGGAGTTAGGTGGTCCGCGAGTGTTTTTTTATTGGTTAAGTCAGGGGTCGGCAACCCGCGGCCCACGGGCCGCATGCGGCCCTTTAAGCCCCCCCCTCTGGCTTCCTTGAGCTTAGACAAAAATAAGAAGGAAATAAAATAAAAGTATTTGTAGGACTATTTATATTTTGTTACATGGTTTAAAATGTTTCGTATCTTGTATTTTGAGGTGATACTGTGACACATAAATAAAAAACCAAACGGTTTTAATTAGGTCAACTAAAATATGCGTCACATCCTGCTACGGTCCCGCGCGAGCGCCTTTTCCTGCGGGTGAATAACCTGACCCCCGGCTCGATGAGCGAACTATGGATAAATCAAAGAACAGTACTGGAGAAACACAGGATTTAATTCTGTGTGGACAGAGTTATATGCTTTCACAGCAAACGATGCTGGTTTACCGGTATGTTTGATATGTAGAGAGAAGTTGTCAAAGGTGCTGCAGCCTTTAAGTATCGAGGAACAACGGGAACAACACGGGAGAGGAAGACAGCTGATGATCTTCCGTCATAATCATAGGTCATAATTCAATGGGGTATGTAATTTATTTCAGAAAACACTTTTTGTTATATTCCATGGAATGCTCTTAACATCCCGATAGCAATGAATATATTAAATGCTTTGACAATAAATACATACAAAAATTAATCTCTCGAAGCCGTAGCGCTGTAAAAAGCACGACCAATCATCTGAGCCGGCCCGGCTAAAATAACTGGATGGCCTACCTGCCTGTCAGCCTTCCATCTGTGCACAAACTTATCTCGTGCCCTCATTGGTCATGCACGCGTTCGTGTGTGTTGGAGGAGGGGCTCTGTAAGGAAGTCTGAAGGAAGAGGCATATTTTTTCCGGTTGTGTATTTTCAAATTCTAGCGCACTCGAGCTGGTTTCTCCATTCTTATCTACCCTACCTTTAACTATTTTTAGGGTGCAGCTATATGTTTTATTTATTTCAAAGTGGGCCCATTTTAATAATTTTTTTTTTCCTTCAAATGTGCAGAGGACTCCCCAAGTGCTGTGTTTAATTTATTTTAAAGTAGGCCTGTGTATTATTTTTAATTCTAAATAGTATATAGTAATAAATAGCCTAATAAATGCATAAAAACTATAGTTTTTGTCTGATATAACAATAAATACAACTTTATTAGCTATCAAGCTATGAAATATGTTTTGCGGCTCCAGACAAAAACATTTTTGGGAAAAAGCAGCAAAATGGCTATTTTGGTCAAAAAGGTTGCAGACCCCTGGGTTAAGTGGTCCTTGGTATGAAAAAGTTTGAGAATCACTGATCTACACTGTCTCAACTGAAAGAGGACCAGAAACACATTAAAAATATAATAAAATGTGGAGACTTTGGGATATTTATCTCCCATTCTTTTACTTTTCGGGCATTTTAAAGACCAAACATGGACCACAGACCAAACTAAATGTTGTTGATGACACTGTTTACCAAATTACCACTTTTTCTGAAAAATGCTTAAAATGATGCAATATATGTTGAATACATGGTTTATACATGTAATTACTGGGGTTCCATTTCTTCTGATTACCTAATTTGGGCGTGCACATTTGCTGCGTGCAAACCTACCTCTTTTGGATTTGGAAAGGTTGGCATGTATGCCTCATATCTGTTCCGAAACTAGACAAAAGTTAAACAAGTACAAACCACATACTGTCTGTGTCATGGTGAATACAGTCGCTGGTTTATTTATGTCTGTATAGGCCGTTGTTGTGAGTGTGGACAGTCGGAGCATATACTGCGTTAGCTTAGCCGAACTCCATTTAGAAAACACACCCATTTTAAAGGTTTTTCGCCTGCCGGTCTGTCTGGCAGACTTGTCAAAGCATTAATTCATGGTTTTTTACTAACCGGTATCAGTATGTTGTTACTTCGGCATCATTTTGAAACGTGTATAACAATTAAATCACGGTCAAATATGTTCATCTTGTTGTAGTTGTATCCCCTTGCCAGCGATTCTCTAGTTTAGCATTCTCAGCCCGACTCAGCCTGGTTGTTGGCCCGAAAAAACCTTGATTTTATCGGGCCAGAAAAACTGTGAAATAGTACCCGCTAGCCGGTACTACGCTAGTGGAAACGCAACCAAAAATGGGCCCTGCACGGCACGCTTAAAGCGAGCTCCGCGCTGTAGTGGAAATGCGCCATAAGACTTGTGAGGCTGACTTTTCTGTTACCGGATGTTCACTTTAGTGTTTTTAAAGCGCTATGATTTCATAGAATAATAAGAACACATGCATATTGCAGGTCTTGTGAAAATTCCCAACTGTATCTTTTTGTAGAAGAAGCATGTTCTGTAGCAGTTTCAGTCTGTTGTGGCATTAATGGTATCTAAGTTTGAGCATGATTATAGAAATTCCATCACATCAAAACGGGTTTCATCACACTTTTTTCCTCCTGTTTTCATGGCGTCCAATTTGAATCAAAGCATTTTATGTTGTAAATTAGTTGAATATGTTCAACACTTTCCTTCTATAGTAACACTTGTTTCTCTCTAACGGCACAGTACCGATCCAGAAGTCAATCGCAGCACTGTTATTAGCTCTATTACTGAGAATTGAAAACTGATAAAGATTGTATTGTAGATGTGAAGTGCCTTTTTGCTAAACACAGAGATAGAGTCAGTAAATCTTCTGCAAATGTCACATCCCAGTCATCGTCTATGATGCTCATTGTTGTGTTACCTTTTACAGAGTTTTAGTGTTGGCACTTTCCTTTTGAGGGTTTCAGGCTCTTGAGTTTTGTAATATTCACCATTCAACATCCACTCTTCCAAAATATCACTTTGTGCATTTCAAACAGAATCAGAGCACAATTTAACCCATCGAGGAAATCCTCTCACCTAATCACATGCTCACATCAAGTTCCTTCTTTCTCATAAAACACTCACTCTGAGAACAAACTCAGAAACTCAGCAAAGAACAATGGGGCTCTTTTGACCAGTAGGAAACAGGAAGTAGACAGTCAGTATTCTCTCTTTCTCTCTAGGGATCTTCTACACGGCAGCCATTGTGGGCCCAGCAGCGGGCTACCTGTTGGGGGGGTACTTCCTCAACATGTACACTGAGATCCACCTGAAGTGAGTCTGCTTTGGATGATAGGATTAGAACTCATTAGAATGAACAAACATATGCATATTAGAATAGAACAGTCTAAAGTGGAAAATGCATGAAGAGATCTAGTAACTGAGTACATTAAGTAAGGGATGCGATGGTGATTGGTTCCTCGGGCTATAATGACTGGCTTGCTGCATATTATCCCAATTACAAAGGTTATAAAGGAAGTATTGAAAATCCTTTCCTATCATCTAGAGCAGGCATGGGCAAACTAAGGCCCGCGGGCCATATACGGCTCGTTAGGCTTTTGAATCCGGCCCGCCGAATATTGGTACAAAATTGTCCAAATTATAGTAAAGACCACATTCATTTTGCCTTTTTCCTGCAATACCCGGCATTTCAGTTGATCGCTAGATGGCGCAATAGACATAATTTACCTTTGCTGGAGTCTGGTCTATTCTCTCTGCTGGCCCCACTCGGCAACCCGGCAAGGTCGGCGAATACAAGTTGTAACAAGCAGTAGCGCTGAGCAAAGTGACTAGAACGCGACCACACACTTATAAAAACACTTATATAAAGTCAGGCACACTAACCAGGCTTAGTGTGATTCTGTTTATTTGACCTTACTTTAATAACCATCCGTTTACTGTTATTGACCATTAGAGGCAGACGTTTTCCTGTTGTTTTGTATTATTGCAGCTATCGGATGGAATCAATACACGGGCTACATGTGGCCATCACAAGTAAAATCATAACGAAAACTACGCCGGTAAAATATTTGTGTAGAAAACGGCTTATGCCATAATATGAGAGCAACAAGTAGTCAAGATAGTCTGATTAGCTTCGGTTGCTATGCTAACATAATAATAATAATAATGGGTTCAATTTATAAAGCACTTCATATTTGATTTCAAATCCCGAAGTGCTACAAGCAGTGAGCATGAACCATATAAATAAACATTACACAACACGGTAGAATTAATAAAAAGCAATACAAAAATTAAAAAAATAATAAAAGGGTGAAAAAAAGGTCTAGGCAAAGGCTCTTTTGAAGAGATGGGTTTTGAGGCCTTTTTTAAAAGCCTCCACGGTCTGTGGTGCTCTCATGTGGTCGGGGAGATCATTCCACAGACTGGGAGCAGCCGAGCTGAAGGCCCGGTCTCCCATGGTACGGAGCTTAGTCCTGGGGGGTTTGAGGAGGTTGGAGCTGCTGGAGCGGGTGGTCGACCACAACATTGCCAGAATTGCTACATCACCTGTAGAATGCCAGAGAAACTTTCATAACAGCGTTGTGATGCCAAACAGCTTTCAGACTGAAAAACATTCACTTATGGGGATGGGGGATATTTATCAGCTGCTTGTGTGACAGTCAGACAATGAAAACTTTACAGCGGCCGCGAGTTAACGGGAGAATAAACTCCGGTAGACGAGCAGCACTGCAGCGGGCGGTAATGCAGCTGAACCACATTAATAAACAATGCACCACGGCACTCTGGAGAAAGGTACAAGGTTGCAGAAGTAGTTCTTTAATTTAATCTGGCTTCGTATAATTAAAAACTACCCGACGCAGTCCTCTATTGATGTTGTTGTGAGCGGTGTTGCGGAGAAAATCAGCGACGTAAAACGCTGTGTGGGTCATAAGACGGCACGTAAACGGTTACGTCATGACGCAAACGATGACGCAATGACGCAATAATTCACCTTTGAACCTGCATCTGTAACAATGAGTGGACCAAAGAAAAGAAAAGTCATGTGCCGAGTGTATAATGAGGAGTGGACATCTAAATATTTTTTTACCGATCTGCTACTGGCCCTGCCCGTCTGTCAAATTTAAAACTCATAGTGGACCCCGAGCCAAAAAGTTTGGCCCATCCCTGCCGTAGACCTATGCCATGGGAAAGGAGACAGAGAGAGGAGAAAATGATGAACTGTGTCGAAGGTTGAATACCTAAGGAAATTGTGACAAGTTGTGACAAAGAAATTGTGTTTTAGTGTTTTCACAAACTAAACAGATAATGTAGCCAGGAGACAACAGAGAGGCCTAACTTTCCTCAAACTTCCCAAACTGCTGGAGTTCTCTTGGAGTTGAAGTCCTGCAGGGTTCAGAAATGAAATCATAAAAGCTCCCTCCTCCTCCTCCTCCTCCTCCTCAGAAGAAGAAGCCGCTGCCTCAGCACCTGCAGTTTGTTGTTGCGTCACATTAACGCCCCGCAGCCAGTGGACAAACCGCTCACGACACAAGAAGAACTTTTCATTCAGACGGACGTCATGCAGGCGGTCGGTGCCGGCGGCAGCTGACTTCCTGTTTGTTTGTGACCTTGGCAGACGAGAGGAAACATTCAGAGAGCCTGAGAGGAGGGGGGGGGGAGGATGGAGTTTTTAATGGAAGCGTCGCTGCAGCAGTCTGAACTGTGTGACGCCCGCTGACGGATGTTTCGTGTTAAAACAGAAGGTCGTGCTCCGTTTGCTGCCGCATTCCCATAAGGAACATAAATGC